ATGATGATGATGATGATTATGAGGATGATGATGATGATGATGATGATGATGATGATGAGGATGATGATGATGATGATGATGATGATGATGAGGATGATGATGATGATGATGATGAGGATGATGATGATGATGATGATATGCCACTTAGAGCTTAGTTCCGGCAACAACAAAAAATGCTAAAAAGCGAAGAAACTCCTCCCTCGATATGTAGTAAATAAGAAAAAAGTCGTGATCACCTACCAACTTTCTTCTCCTTCTTCTCTTTCTTCTCCTTCTTCTCTTTCTTCTTGTTTGGCGCCGCTGCGGGTTTGGCCAGACATTGATGCGTTGCCCACGTCATGGCGAGAAGCACACACAAGAGCAAATCAACCCGCATCCTCCACGGAGTCGCTTACTATCCATACAGAGCTGTCCCACTGACAGCTGGGCATACTAATCTCCTCGCACTCACTGCCCGAAGCACAAGGGCCAACGCTTCCTCGGCACTATAGTATCTCATTGAAGAAGACACGATAAGTAACACACCAAACACACGGTCACACAGAAATCCTGCGATGGTCTTTTTTTCCCTTGTTTTAGAACAATGTCAGCTTCCCAGAAATTTGAGATTGTTTCAGAATGCTAACATGTCTGCTGGGGTAATATGATTATGAAGTTTTTAGAGCTTGCTGTTCAGCGGGTGTTTGCGCAATGCAAATGCTATAAATTCATTTTTCAATGTATTTATAGTTTATTTTATTATTATTATCATTATATTGCTATGTTATTCAAAACTATAGATGTTATCTTCTTTTCTGTGAGGCGCTAGGTAGAACACACTAATAAGGATGCCACTTTCATAACGGAACACACATCTTCGGAATTATGAAAAAATATGTACGTACGTATTGGCAAACGATGGATATTTTTAGATCAGCCTATCTGTCAGCATCGTCATACCCAAGACATACTCACTACATCATAAAAGGAACAGAGATTATTTTGCTTCCAAACCAGGTGATAACGATACAGTTGGACATGTTCGAACTACAACACGTTCAAAACAATCGCCTGTACAGATAACCACTTCCGACTTCCATCTTTACGTTTTTCTATATCATAAGGGCATAATGACACTTTCCAAGAGGACCCCCTGTCAAACATGATCACTTCCCTCCTTCAGGATAGGTGGTAGCATTGAAATCTCAAATGCATTTTCTCATAGTACCTTTACATTACAAAGTGCAAAACTTTGGTTGTTTTCCTTTTTTCAATCCCTATAAATCGCTCATTGCAAACAAACACCCTCGGTGTTTAAATTAAATCATCCGTATAGAGAACCAAATCAAATAAATGAACGCAACCTCTTACATCACCTGGAAACTGGAAGAAAGATTTCTCAGCGGTCTATAAAACGATCTCGCTTTTAGGTATTCCAGATTCCACTTCTAAAAGTGAAACCAGCCGTGGATCATTCCCTGAACAGGGACGCTAATCTGTCGTTACTCTGTTCAACCCTCAACC